TATTCTAATAAATTACCACAATTATTACCAATTAAATTATCAGAATAGGTTAGGTTAGGTTAGAACGTGCGTCCCCACTGTTTCCTTTTCTTTTTGCGGAATCAGAGATGAGCCGCCATGAGTCTACGTATATGGACGTTAACCCGCGCGTCGGTTTTCGCCGTTTATCGCGGCGCAGCAGCCGCCGCCGTTCGCTCGCGTCGTCACGTGACACGTCGTCTCCAAAGCGGTCCGGTTTCGAGGCTAAAGCAGGAAGAGCCGCCATGATGGTCTACGACCCTGAACATTAATCTAAAGGCTATAGCATACAATTGAAATAGGAGAGAATAAGGAAAAAATATCAAAATAATGGATTTAAAAAGACCTTCCGCTAAAGATACCGAAGATGATTTGCTTAAAATGCAGCAGGAATTTTTGTCGACAAAAAGTAAACCTGCTGCTCAAATTGTAAATAAACGGAAAAGCAAAGATGAAGAATCTGTTCATACTAACAAAAGTTAGTAATTTATTTAAATTGTACTTTTGTTCATATGTTAAACTGATACTTAGGTAAAAATTGCGTAATAATGAATTAAAAAAATGTAAAACTGTTTTCTTTTCATTAATTGCGTACACGTTTTAGTTGCAAGTGGTTCTGTTTTTTTTTTTTTTTTTTTTAAATCGTTTTTGAATAATTGTATTGGAGAAATGTCTCTTGCTAGGTACTGGTGTTCCAACTTTGAAAAGTACTTCACTGTGAATTTACATAGCTGTATTTACAACTTAATTAATATTTCTACAGAAAATCTAATGAAGTTTCTTTTCTTCATACCATAAGTGTGGTCAAATACTCTCAAAGAGAGAAGTTAATTCCTCCTCCATTATTAAAACTGCCCTTTAGCTGCACTCAATGGTCCTAGTTGATAGTCTACACCAGTGGTTTTTCAACTGGAGTGCTGCAGCACACTAGGGTACCATAACACTTATAAGTATTTCTAAAAGTACAAAAAGTGCAATAATTGTACTTTGATAAAGAACGTCAACATTAATCTGTATATATATTGGGAAGTTGGACCGATAACAATGAGTAATAAACCTTTTACGTTGTTTGGTTTTGAGTGGATACAAAAAATAAGGTGTGCCTGTTGTGTACAGTACTCATTTTACTCCTATAATTTTTGTAGTTTAGCATAAAAAAATATATTGGAAGGGAACAATTTACTGGTATAAAAATGTTGGAAAGGATACCAATCATCAAAGTACTGGTTTAATATGTAAATAAATCCCACTGACACCTATAACCAGCAAAATGAAAAATTTTTACTGTAACTAACATTTTCTTCTGTATATAATGGACATTGTCATGTAACTGATAGAACTTAAATTGAACAAAAATTAAAATCTTTGAATAGAACATTTTTTTAAATTACATATCAGTATACAATTGGAAGGGATAAGTTCCCCTCTGCTCACACTAAAGAAGTAGAGGTGCTGCAAGAAAACAAATTACAAATTTGGGGTATAACTATTTTTATTTTAATGAAAGATAATGGCTGTACACAAAATGTTTAGCCAGTGGAAGGAGGGTGAGGAGATAGAAAGAAGAGAAAGGAAGGATCCCTCTGAGCAGTGTGTGTAAAGTTATTACTACTACTACTACTATGTTTAATATTGGTGTGTAGTTTTTGGCTGCAAAGCCGTGGGTCTAAAAGAAAACCCGAATTGTAGCATATGCCAATAAGTAGTGCAGCTACATAAGCAAGACAGAGTAAAGTTTAATGCTTAAAATTAAAGTAAAGGTTTCAAACTAATATTAAAATAAAACAAGGAGTGCAACTATTAAAAAGAGTTTAAAAACAGTAATCTATGCAAACAGTTACCACAGTATCATTCTGTTAAATCATTAGACATTTTATAGTTGTCCAACTAATGCTAACAATATTACAATACTATCATTCATCACTATCTAGAAACTTGAAAATGCTTTTATAAAATGTCTTCTAAGTTGCTGGAGCAGCTAGCTCTCATTTATTATTTAATATAATATCACAAGTAGAATTTTCACTTGTTATCAAACACTAGGATAGACAAGTAGTTAATTTAGATCTTTCAAATCTTATTTTGATGATATATCTAATATTTTCATGTTACAAATTTTTTAAAAGTTGCTGTGCATGGTTGTGTACTAGATGAGTTAATATATATGTTGCTTGCTTAATTATGCACATGAACCAATTTTTTATAGTGTTTTGATTATAAATGATGTCATATTTTAATTAAATTTAATACATATAAAGGAATTTATTTCAGTTATAAAGAATAATAAATTTTATTTTCACTGTAGCTTAGAAAAATTGAATCTAAACAACATACAATAATATAATAATTGTTGAATATGTAGGATATGATTATAATTTTGTAATTTATAAGTCTTTTAGTATTTTATATAATAATTATGATTATGAAGTTTACACTACACTATCCGGAACCTGTAACTGGTGTGTAATGCGTATATATATTGTATACTGCTGTTGACAAACGTTTTCAAACAATCCCTTTGCTCTTCTTCAGAACTCGAATTCCCTGGATGGAGTGTATTCTATTTGTTGGGATCAGGTGTCATTCTGATGAAGTGGGTCCTTTCTGACGTGCGGTCATGCACCAGTTACAGGTTCCGCATAGTGTAGTGTAGATTTCACACCGGTGCTGAGGTTAGAATCCTTTCTTATTATAAAGTTATTACAAAGATTGCTTTTAGCCCTTGGTATAATTAAATGAAATATCTACTAATATGAAGTAGATATTTAATTTAATTTAATTTAATTATGATTATATTATAACATTAGTAGACTAAATGGAATATTGTATGTGTGCCAGGAGAGTTTAGGAGATAAACATCAATGAATGTATCTAATTAATAACAGATAAAATACAAGTATCATGGAATATATTTATCATTATAGAGCATTCCAGGAGCTTAATTATACATCCTGATGGCTTTTTCAATAGTGGAAAATATGAATGACGGAGTATATAATAAAGCCAAATATAATGTATATAATGTATAGTTTAATGCAGTAAACCACAGGCCCCTACGTTGTTACTGGAAGACTGCATTCAAGAATCTGTTTGGAAATGCTTACCTGCTCAACTACTGAGACCAAGCATTAATCAAAATTGTTACATATAATGTTTTTAGTGATTTACTGGTTGCTATCAGACTTGCCAATCTTTGAGAGTGGATTAGAGAATGACTGATCAACTACTGGGTACATCATTCACTGCTACTAACCAACCAGATTGGTATTTCCAAACAGATCTGAGATGTGCCATGAAAGGATGCAGTAAAAGAACTTGCATAAAATGTTTTTGTATTTTGTACTTTTCTATTGTACTCTCACATGTGTCACATGTCATGTTCCAATGTTATGCCATGTTGCATAGTATCATTTTATGTCAGAGTGTAAAGTACTATATTATTTTTCCGACTTTCCAACGATTATCGACACTACTGTGTGCCGGAAATAGCCGTTCCCTAACGGGTACTTTACGCGGATTCGCGTTAGTGTGCCAGGCCTGGACTTTAAGCGTGCACCGAATTAAATAATGACAAAGTTTGTCAATAACAAAATCAAATATTTAATTAAACTTCTAGTAATAAACTATATACAGTATTTAGTAAAAATCAAACAATAATTTATTCAATGAAATTCAACAAGAATCAATCCGACAAACTCAAATCAATCTATTTCTAACTTAATTCTATTCCCCTTTGGAATTCGACAAAATCAAAGAATTAACTTATAAACAATAATTCTTATAAATTAAAGATCCTAATCGTCACCTCAATATACTAGGAACCTATTTCCTCAAACTCTCAAGACTTTCTATAATCGTCGATCCACAAATCGAATAACTTCAAAATCCTATCGGACACCTCTCTCGTTCACTGCTACGAAGCTCACCAAAGCTCGTTGCTATCAGGAATTCACCTCGTTCGTTTTCACTTGAGTTAGAGGCTTTATAGTGTGAGGTGACGTCACAATTCTGAATGAGCTCACTCTCCTCATTTACATACTTATCTGTAACATTAAATTTTTCTTGTTTATCTGGCAGATTATTTTCCGACAATACTTCGCTAACCTTTTACATTATTCTTTTTAACAATTATCGGGATGCTTTATTCTTTTAAGGTTTAGCGATTCCTAACTGGGTTGTGGGGTCTTCCCCCCCTTTTTCTCGGTGCGGACTTACTTTTTTCCGCTTGGGAAGCGCAAGTGTGCGCGAGTTTTCTACGCCGCTTTTCTTTCGTTGGTGAGTTGGTTTTTCTTCTATTTTTAAGTTACTAAGGTGAATGGTGAGGAAACTTCGTCCTAACAAAACATAAGCCCCAAACAAAAATAGAATAATAAGCAAAATAAAAGTAAATAAAAATAACGTTCGGACTTGGTTCCTTACAAGAGTTGAGAAAGCATGCTATTTTAAATAGCATGCTTTCTCAACTCTAAAAACAAATTTTCTAAAGTTTTTCAATCAAGTACTTTTCTTTTGTTTTGTTACATTAAAGCACACTTTTCAAGTGATCAAAACTGAAAATTAACCAAAATGATTATCCTAAATAATTATAGTTATGTACTTTTTTGTTAATTTTGTACATTAAAATATTTACATATTACTGCTTAAATGACAATTTAAAGAAATACTACTAACTTTTACTTAGGATAAAATTTACATTTAAAAATTGCAGGCAGAACCTAAATTACAGCAATTCCTCAAGCCTACAAAACCCAAATCTAAAAGAAATTACAAAACTAACCTTTGATCTGTACACATACATAACATACCAATACTAGCACACTTGAAATGAAGAAATATTTACTAACATAACAGACATCTTCAGGCATATAACGCAGAACAAAACAAAATAGCTACATTTAAATCAAATGTGTTTTTATGAATGATTTACATGTTCAGTTTAAAATTGTTTCTGGAACAAAGTATGTCTACAGGTTAAAATTATTTTTAAACTGTAGTTAAGATTTGTAAACATTAGTAAATATTTCTTAATTTCAAGTGTGCTGGCATTGGTATGTCGTGTACGTGTTTTTTATCCCAGTATTAGAGAGTTATTGACTGATCTGTACTTATGTATATTAGTTTGCAGACCAAAAAAATTCCTAAAAATTGATTTTTTACAACTCCAACTTCTTTTAACAAGGCAAGTCAGTGTTACACTGGAATAACTTGCCTTGACAGCTTTATGCTGGAATGTTCTTGACAACAAACATCTACTCTATAAGAACAATAAGACATATAACAGCATAAACCATAGAGTATCCCACATTTTACCAGTATTTAATTGTCAAAGCATTTAGACACCAGTGGATAGCCACATCCGCTACATAAATACTCTTTTTATACTGAAGAGGAATCAATAAAATATAGTGATTTGAAATGCATATATACTACAGTGTGAATAAATAATTTTATAAATACTTGCATAGTTAATTTAGTTACTGAGAATCCAGACAATTGAAATTTGGAGCAGGATATTTTACCAAAATTTTTGGTTTATGTATCAAAAATGAAGTTAGAGAATTAACTTTTTTTGTTTAATTGGAATAATATCTTACAGATTAAAATCTCTTACATAAATGAATGGATATAAATAATTGAAAAATATGTTTGTTGATAATTATGTTTATGATATAATAATTATGTAAAAATATGTTTATTGATATTTTTGTTTTTATATTTTGCTTCTAATAGGTGAATCAAAAAAAGTAAAATGTGAAGATTTAGATGATATGCAAACTGATCCTCATCCAGTTATGATTGAAAGTAAGTTCTTAAGTTGTACTGTACATATATATTAATATTATTGTAATAAAATTGTACTGTTTGGGTTGGTAATGTGGAAGATACAAGTAGTCTAAAAGGTTGATATACATATTATCTATAAAAACTTGGCATAACCTAGTAATTAACATAAAGATCTAATTATTATTAAATATTTCTATATGTAGAAATATCAGTAATTCTATGAAGTAGGAGGAGTAAAGACTAATAAAGATTATAAGCATAATTATGCATATATATTCAACAACTAACCCAAAGTAGATTGTTCATAACAAAAATTTCAATAATATGTATACCTTCATCTGTCTCATTCTGAGTGAGAATTCTGTAATGTAAACTAAGTTCAGATTTGTTTTGAAATACATCTTCATATTCAAATTAAATGGAAAAAATAGTTTTTATTTAAATCACACAAAAAATTTTTTGTTCCAATTTTCTCCATCAAAATCAAACATAGAATCTTCATATTCCAGAACAAAGAAAAAAATTCTTTTTTCAAATTTGTTAAACATTACAGTTTTTTGAATGTCCCATAGAAAACCATTTCAATTCCATGATTTTATGGTTCACTTCTCTTGCTTGCCCCACAGGATTGGCCCATTTGTTCCCAATATATACTATTTGAATCATCACAAAACTTTTCTGATGATTCAATTTCTCACAAGAGGTTAACCCCTCTGATCAACTTCCATTCATTTTTCTCCCCTTTGTTGCTCTATCTCCAACAGGGTAGATGGTTCAACTCTCCTACCTCCTGTTCACTTTGCTCAACTCCTCACTAGCTTCACTTTTCCCTTGAGCCAACTGTATTACTTCACCCCTTCCCTTTGGTCATGCCCCTTTGCTTTATTCACTTGTTCAAAAATTTTATGATGATCATCCATCAATTCCTGATAATCCAGCATTATGGATAATTTGGCATCATTCCAATCTTGTAGATATTGGATTAACAAACTTCTACTGTATTAAGATTTATTTATTTGTTTACAAGTGGAAAAGTCTGGAGACGATCAATTTCCACTCCCAAATAACAAACCCCAATAAAAAAGTAAACAGTAATTAATAACAAATAAACTGGTAATAACACAAAGATATAAAGTTAAATTACAGATTATATAAATTACATATTATTTAAAATAGATTTACACAATTTTTAAAAAAGGTAAAATTGCATTACAAAAATTGCTCAATTGTGCTCACTTGAGAGGGTAAATGATAAAAAAAATGATCTATGAGATGATGAAAGATGATAAAAAGGTGTAAAAAAACAAGAAGTGTTATGTGTATTAACAGTGGATATATGAAGGCCTAGCCAGTAATTAAAGATTAGTCCATTAAAAAATTTGTATCCAAGTATACAATTGAAATATTTTAAACAATCATCAAGATAAACCAAGACAAACTCTGGCAACTTCTTGGTTATTGGTGTATAGAAGGTTACAAAATTTATACAGCAACGAATAAATCTTTTTAATTCTGAATGAACTTTGTGAAATAAATATGGAACATACATTGACAAGACAGAGAGAGAGTAATCTACAATTGACTGAAAGTTAGTAAAAAAAAAAAAAAGCTCTTAAAACAGAATTTGAAGAAATACTTTTACAAAATTGCCAGAAAATGCCCTATCTAATTGAAAGAGATTTAATAATATGAAAAATATGATTATGAAAAGATTATTTGTCGCCAAAAGTGACATTGAGATCACAAAAAGATTTAACATAATTTATTTCATTGATATAAATCAAGGGATGGGATGGGTTATGAATTAATGAGTAACACATAATTACAGTTTTGTAAATATTAATCTTTAAATTATGGCTGGTAAAGGTAGAGCATATTGAGTTAATGTCTGCCTGTAAGGACAATGGATCATTATTTAAGATTTTAATGTCATCTGTGTAAGCTATTATTTTGGAGGACAAGTTAATAAACAGTTTATCTATATAGATTGAGAAAAAGAGCTTACTCAATATTGAACCATGGGGAATGCCACAAACAGGAAAAATTCGAAAATTTGAAGTCACTGATACAAATCTTATGCAATCTTGACAAGTAATAGTTATTTAACCAGCAACAGAGAGTTGGATCTAGATCAAAATGTTCATGAAGAACATTAAGAAGTATATTTAAAAAATAAACTATTTAAAATGATGGAGTCAGATTAATTTTCCAATCTTATGTAATTGTCTTGTAGAAAAATACACGAAAATTCAAATTTTCTTTCTTTTCTGACTTATGGAGAATAAACAACTTCCAAATTCTAAAACATTATGTTAATAATGAGATAAAATTAAAGTTAAAAAAGGTAAAACAAATCAACTTTGCAGAGAGAAACACTTTAATTATTTAGGTATGTCCCCAACCTTTTCTCCAAATCCATCCTTCTTAAAAATGTAAAATTTAAATTTTTGTGTATTTTTCCACAATACAATTATGTAAGATTGGAACATTAAGAAGCAAATTAGGAAGAACTGAATTGAAGGCCTGGGAAATGTCAAGATATACATATATACATAACCTGATTTATTATTACAAAAGGATGCTTACAACCACAAAGGTCTTCTGTTGTTGGGTGAAATCAAATTTTCTGGATCATCTCCTTTCCGTGGAAGGTACTGGTCCCACATGTGATAATCTCCTGAAGTCTGTTTGGAAGTAGATTGCCTCGAGACGATGTTGAGAGATAATCCGTGGCGAGAGATGATGGTGAAGTTGACGTAGAGTTCAGGATGCTTAATATCTTGTCCCCAGAGTAAAAATGCATGATCGAAAGACAGGTGGAGAAGCTCTCTATGCCCTTAGAGTTTTTTTGGGTCCTAGATAGACCACCTCAATTGGTTATGTCCATTCACCCACACTATTTTTAATTTTAATTATCGTTAATAAAAAATAATTTGATTTGATCAAGAAAAGAATAGATGGCCTGCCTGAGGTCCAAATAATGTTTGGCATATTGAAATCATAATATAATTTTTAAATTTTGTAAATCTTTGAGAGATAAAAGCTATTGGTATAATATTTTAAAAATGCTCTCTCTCTTACTTTGTGGGGCATAAATCAAGATTATTAATAAATTGGAAGCGGAGAGTTTCATGATGAGAATAGAATCTAGATATTCAAATTCTTTTACAAGCCTTAATGAAGGAGAGTAAATCATACGGATGCCACCACCACCACGTTGAGTATCATGAGATAATGCAAAGTGAGAATAACCAAAATTGTTAAGAAAATTAAATATATCATCAGAATAAGAGTCAGCCAGCTTTCTGTTAAAATAAAAAGATTGTAAAATTCATTTAATATAGAGATGAGAAAAAGGCATTTATTTTTGATTGACCTAACAATCTGTAGGAATATTTAAAAATTTTTTCCTGTGGACATGTTAGTAAGGCAGTTGACATTATCTTTTGGCAGTTTTGTTAACCTATTTCATTTATAACTTTTCAGTTTTTTAAGATTTTTTTCTAAACAATTGAGTTTGTCTACCAGACACTCTTGTTTTGTCAAATATCAACTTCCAAGTCAACACCATCTCAATGAATGATCTATCCACCATACCTTTTCCTGCCTATTAAACTTGTCTGAGAACCTTCTACCCTCATCATTAATGGTTTCCTCCAGCTTTATTTATTCAGCCATTCAATGGCAAGATTTCACAAGCATCTAGAACAGTGTTTCTCAACCTCTAACGAATCATCGCCCTCTTCAGTAAAACCGTTATGTAGTATCGCCCCCTTCACTACAAAATACTGATGCCGAGGGCAGAGACTAACGCCAAATTCGTACTGCATTGAATAGACTAGTGACTAGTATAATGTTATTTGTTTAATTATTGTACGATATAACGAATAAAATATCTAATTATTCTTAATATAATGTTTTACTTTACTATATCGCCCAGAAAATTGTTTTTCGCCCCCAAAATATAAATAGTTACTAATCGCTCCCTGAACATGGAAAAACGCCCACATGGGGGTGATATCACCCCCGTTGAGAAACACTGATCTAGAACACTGCTAAAATCTTAGTTCTAAATTATGTGGCTATGGCGAACAATACCAATTATGGGAACTGGATTTCATTTCAATTTGTAGGTACACCTGGTGGTCTTCTCTTTGTTCAGTCTTGGTTAATAATAGAATGCAGTACAGGTATACCTCGACTTACGTCGTTCCCGATTGTACGTCATTTGTCAAAAAAGTATATGGAAAAATAAAAATCAAGTTTAAGTCATTTTATTTGACTTTACGTCTGTCTGCCACAAATATTGAAGTCATAATATCACTAGAAAAGCATTTAAAGCATTTTAATATTTTAATGATTTAAATGTATATATTTTAATATGATTTTATGAAATCATATTAAAATATATACATTTACAAGTATATATTGTACATGCATTCGTAAATTTAGATTACTTTTTTCTGTACTATATTAAAAACTAAAATTTATTTATTTGTAAGCTTAAAATAGATCCTTATTAACCATATATTATTAAAACTGCATTAATAAATAAAATACAGAACCAGGAATGGTAATTTATGGTTTAGCCTAGTGACAAGTAGATTCGGAGACAAGTAAATTTGACTTACGTCACTTTCCTGGAACCAATTACCGACGTAAGGCGAGGTATACCTGTATATGCTTATTATTTGTTTATCATACTGTCAACTCATTACACTTTAAATAAAATGGAATGTAGTTTATGTGGTTTAACATGTTGACTGCCAACCACAAGATAATTTGTAGTTTGTTTACTTGCCATATTTGTGCAGCTACGATTAAATTTATAGTATATCAGTGTAAATATGAATAGATAGCCTGAGGGGCGAGAACAAAAAATCAAGGTTTGCTTACATGAACAGAACATTTATTAATAAATGAACAGAAAATATAATCATAAAAAGTTTATTCCAAATCAAAAAGCAAAAGAATATTTTTATTGTTTCTGGTAATTTTTAAAACAGTCTTCCATGCAA